GCACCATCAGCTTTCTTTAGCACCATGTACTTTCATAGCTTCCTTCCCCTCCAAAGACATCATCCGCTAGGCTCCATTTAAACTTGTCTACATTAGGGACAAGCATCGTGGTGGCTAAGGGCATGGAAGGGGCTCTCTGGGTGCTTAGTGTGCCTGGCTGCTAACCGAGAACCTTCGAGGTTCCTCAGAAGAAAGGCTTGATGAATTAGTTGTGAACCATCAGCCGCTGAAAACCCCACTGAGCTCTGTGTTCCTGGGAGAGTTGGGGTGCCATGAGCTGAGGTTGACTGGACGCATGTTGGTTTGCCAGGCACAGACTGGCATCAGGCCTGTGCGTTTAAACGCAAACAAGGTGGGCGCTCTGGGGGTCAGTGACGTCACTTTGCTAAGCCTTCCTGTCTCTTCATCTGTTCATCAGGACTAACGACGATGGAATCTCTGGCAAAAGGTGGCTGCGGCGGCGTGAGCTTGGCTTGAGCTGGCAGAGGTGGCACCGGGAAGAGGACGCTTTGCTCTGGGCTCAGAAGCGTTCCGCGGGGGCCCGGTCCCTGGCCCCGTGTTAATACCATGAGTCCAGTTGGTCCGGAAACGGTTCTTAGCTTATGTTGCTTTTTGGGGGGTTTGCGCTGTCCATTTCAGAAATGGGGTTGTGGGGGGGGCGGGCGTGCGGTGTCAAGGGCAGGGAAGGAGCGGGTGGCTTTAGGAAAAGGCAGGAGGTGCTTTCTAGGAATCTGACTTTAGACAAAGGGGAGTCGAAGAAAGTTAGGTGTTGCGCGCGCACTGCAAGGTCAGGGGTTTAAAGCCTCCAGCCGCTCCTCAGGACAAAGACGAGGCGTTCTACTCCGGTAGAGAGCGCGTCTAGGAGACTCAGGGCAGTTCTACCGTCTTACGGGGTCGCTGTGAGATGGAGACGGCTCGGTGGCGGTGTTTGGCTTGGTTTTGGTCCTCAGTTCCTTGTCACCGTGAGGCAGAATCGGCGCCATGCTTCCAGTAGCTTGCGTCTTTCTGTTGCCGAGTGATGTGCTCTATCTTATGGACAGACCGCCGTTTGTTTTTACCTTCCCCTCTTGGTGGGCACTTGGGTGATTGTTCCCGATTTGGGGGCGCATGAGTCGTGCTGTTACAAACATT